GAGCTGGGCCTGGATAAATGTGGAGGTGGGCCTGGATAAAGGTGGAGCTGGGCCTGGATAAAGGTGGAGCTGGGCCTGGATAAAGGTGGAGGTCTAAACAGACGTGAGTACAGCTTCCTGCTGTCACAGTGTTTTAAATACATTGATAAGGCAGGCTATGCTACATGTAGCCTCTGCTCCATGAGATGAACTACAGCAACAAGGGCTCACATGTCCTCTCATCACACTGTTCACTGTGATGACCACAGCCAGTGGACCAACAGTCCCAACAGTCCCACACTGCTCCCAAGAACCCTGAAGTACTGAGAGGGTTAAGGTGCCTGTACCTTCATTTCAGCAGGTTGCTAATGCAGAGGTGTGTCTAGATCACAGCTATTATTTTACTCTTGATAAACTACCATAGCCAGAGTAGATTATCATTTTCATTTAAATAATTGAACTGGATTGAATGCATATTAATTGCAAATAGAAGATAGGCCACAATTCCAACAGCTGTACAGTAACAGTGGAAGTTAATATGAAGCCGTACAGTAACAGGGTTCAATGAAACCTGTGCACTACCAAAGGGAAAGCAACATGTGCACTAGCTGGATGCTACTACCTACTAAAGCTCTTATTGATGTGTCAGTGTTATGAATGCCTGTCAACCAGAGTATATTTATAAATGTTTATTCTTTTAATCAAACTATTGTCTCTCATTTGTTTGTGTCATTTAAGGTATACTGTATGCTTTGGAATTCTCATTGTTAGTTTAAATACATTTTCTCACTTTTTCATGTATACACCGAGATTTCACAAAATGTTTGGTCATGGAAATTTGGTTTAAAGTCACGGAAAAGTCATGGAAATCCATTGGTCAAAATGTGTATGAACCCTGAGTAGTATCAGTAGTATTTATAGTAGTAGTATTTATAGTAGTAGTATCAGTAGTATTTATAGTAGTAGTAGTATCAGTAGTATCTATAGTAGTATCAGTAGTATTTATAGTAGTAGTATTTATAGTAGTATCAGTAGTATTTATAGTAGTAGTAGTATCAGTAGTAGTATTTATAGTAGTAGTAGTATTTATAGTAGTAGTAGTATCAGTAGTAGTATTTATAGTAGTGGTATCAGTAGTATTTATAGTAGTAGTATCAGTAGTAGTATTTATAGTAGTAGTAGTAGTATCAGTAGTAGTATTTATAGTAGTAGTAGTATCAGTAGTAGTAGTAGTATCAGTAGTAGTATTTATAGTAGTAGTAGTAGTATCAGTAGTAGTAGTAGTAGTATCAGTAGTAGTATTTATAGTAGTAATAGTATCAGTAGTAGTATTTATAGTAGTAGTAGTAGTATTTATAGTAGTAGTAGTAGTAGTATCAGTAGTAGTATTTATAGTAGTAGTAGTATCAGTAGTATTCACAGCAGAAGTTGTATTTGTGTTTATAACAGCCGTTTTATCGTGCTTTTATTCTGAAGGGGAGATCGAGTGTCTACGAGAAGAACTGAAGAGAACAACAACCAGGAGAGAAGAGGAGAAGGAGTGGAGTGAAGAGGAGAGGAAGAGGAGTGAAGAGGATAAGGAGGCACTGAGGGAGGATACTGAGAGGCTGACGAAGGAGGTGGAAGACCTGAGGAGTAGAAGGGAAGAGAAGGAGGAGACGGAGGTCTGGCAGAGAGAGAGGGAGGCTCTGAGCGAGGAGCTGGGGACGAGGGACGGGGAGGTGGAGGCGCTGAGGAGGCGAATAGAGGGGCTGATGGAGGAGGAGCAGGAGAGACAGAAGGAGGTGGAGAGGCTGAGGGAGGAGGTGACGAAGAGGGAGGCGCGTATCAGCCACATGATGGAGAGACTTCAGCAGGAGGAGGGAGAGAAGGAGAGACTGGAGGAGGAGGCGAAGATCACGGAGGTCAGGCTGAGAGAAGAGGAGGTGAAAAGGGAGGAGGAGATGGAGGCGCTCTGCGACCGAATGGAGAGACTAGAAAGAAAGGAGGAGGAGAGGGAGGAGGAGATGGAGCGATTGAGGAGTGAAGCAGAGGAGGCGAAAAGATGGAGGGTGGAGGAGCTGGAGGAGGAGCTTAACAGACTGAGAAAAGAAACCTCCGAGCTAGAGGAGAGGAGAGAGAAAGAGAGACTGCAAGACGAGGAGGAGAGGAGGAAGAGAAGAGAGGAGGAAGTGGACCAACTCAGGGGGGAAGCGAGGAGAGCAAAGGAGGAGGTGGAGAGGCTGAGGGAGGAGGTGGGGGAGGTGGAGCTGCTGAGGGTGAGGCTGAACGTGGCCAAGGAGGAATGTGAAGAGATGAAGGAGGAGGTGCAGCAGAGGGAGCGCAGCCTGGAGCGACAGATGAGCACTGTGAGGGAGTGGGAGGAGGAGGTGGAGGAGCTGAAGAGGCAGGTGAAGTTGGCAGAGGAGCAGAAGGAGGAGGGAGAACGGGAGCATCGGGAGGCGAACAACAAACTGAAGCAGAAAGCCGGGAGGGAGGAGCAGCTGGAGGCGCTGCTCAAAGAAACCCGACTGCTCCTGGAGAAAGAGAGGAGGGAGGGAGTAGAAAAAGATGTCACAGTCTCTTCCCAGGCCAGGGAGGTGCAGGCAGCCCGGGCCGAAAGGGAGGGAGCAAGAAGGAAAGCCATAGAGAGGGAGGAGGCCTGCAACAGGCTGGAGGAGGAGGTAAAGGAGTGGAGGGAGAAGGCTGAGCAGAGCTCGAGGGAGGTGGCAAAGTTCAACCACGTCCTGAAGGAGCGGGCGGAGGAGGTGCAGTACCTGAGAGCAATGCTGGAGGAGGATGGGAGAGAGAGGGAGGCGCTGAGGAGACTAGAGGTGGAGAGGAGGAGAAGGCTGGACAGCAAGCTGATAGAGATGGAGGAGGAGAAGAGGAGGCTGGAGGAGAAAGTGAGAGAGGTGGAGGAGGAGCGGGAGGAAGAGAGGGAGGCACTGAGGAGAGCAAGGGAGGAGAGGAAGAGGATGGATGACAGATTAGAGGAGATGGAGGGGGAGGTGCAGGAGACAAGGGAGGATCTGAGGAGGAGAGAGGAGGAGAAGAGAAAGCTTGACGATGAACTGAGAGAGGAGAAAGAGGAGCGAGGGAGACTGGTGGAAGCTGAGAGAAGTCAGCACCTCCTGTTGGAAGAAGAAGGGAAGTCCAGAACGAGAGATCTGGAGGAGGAGAAGGCGGGAATGTCAGTGGAACTGTGGAGGAGCGAGAAGGAGGTGAAAGCTCTCAGACAGGAGGCGCAGAGGGAAGAGAGGAAGAAAAAGGACATCCAGGAGGAGATGACAGCCCTCAATATAGCAGTACAGAGTGAGCAAAGGAGGTGGGAGAAGGCCCAGGAGGAGATGAGGGCTGAAAAGGAGGTGGTAGGTCTAACACAGGAGGTACAAAAGGAACAAAAGGAGAAGACGGAGGCGCAGGAGGAGCTGATGAAGAGAAGAGAAGAAATTACATCACTCAGAGAGGAGGTGCAGCATAAGGAGAAGGAGCGTGTACAGGAGATGTTAATGACGAGAGACAAGGACGTGACTGCT